TTTAGGGTTTAGGTGTACAGATATGAGAGGGTTTAGGGTTGAGGGTCAGCAGCTGGGCGCGGCACAGACCGAAACCATGGCCCATCCAGGTGAGTGTCGCCACTTTGGGCACGCCACGAAGTTGCATAGCTTCAAAAGTCACAACACTCGCGAGGATCCCGGGTTCGGGGGGCCATCCTTGTGACTGTTGGCATTTTAGAGACAAAAGTGACAACCCTCACGAGGTTTTCGGGTGCATACCATGGGCTGGGGTGGGGGGGGGGGTGGGGGGACCGACACGGAACCATCTATACATATATATGTATATATATATATACATACATACCTACCTACCTACCTACCTACCTACCTACCTACCTACCTACATACATACATACATACATACATACATATGTCTATGCATATACATATATCTGTATATGCATTTTGACTTGTGTGTATATATATATATGTATCTGTATTTGTTTCTGTGTTTATGTTTATATTTAGATCTCATGTTATATATATATATATACAAACAAACCTACATACCTACATACATACATTCATACATCCATACATCCATACACCCATCCATGCATGCATACATACATGCATGCATGCATGCATACATGCAAACATGCATACATGCACACATGCACACATGAATACATGCAGAAACTCATACATACATACATACATACATACATACATACATACATACATACATACATACAGCTTCCTTGCTACATAAAAGTATACACGTATTCATCCTTGAGAAAGCAGCTTACAGGATTTGGGCTTTTCAGGTTAAGTTCTGCACGTTTGAGGGTGTGATGGTGGTTGAGGATTTGAGTGTTTCAGGTTTTAGGGTTCAGAGTTTAGGGTTCGGGCTGTTCGAAACCCGTGAACCTTCGGGCCAGAACTCTTCAAGCCCATCCTATGCCTCCGAGGACGCTCTTTTGTTTTGCATGGTCGCCTCGGCGCAAAGACGACGAGGGTACGTTGCAGGAGGCCGCTGGGGAGAGATGGGTCGAGATCTTAGCGAGCCCTTCATGGATGACATGTAGGAGCCACAGTTACTACAGTGTGCTTCTATCATCATCGGTTTTATGTCGGCATCTCCGTCTCTGCATCGTCATGATTGTGCGGCGTTTTCTTCGTGAGTTTGATCCTAAGAAAGAACAGAACCCAACATCTCCATCTCCCTTCGCTATTCTGCTCGCATCTTGCCAGCTAGAGTGAGTCCTTAGGCTTTCTGCCCGCTCCCGACACGCAGAAACACAGAGGCCTCGAAGCCCCGCAAGTGTAGCTCCCGGCTCGAATCGCAAGAGAGCCCTGATAGGTTCGCAGGCAATACAAGAAATGCGATGGTCCGGCACTGAGCTTCGCACCCACATCTTCGGCCCGTCAGAAAGCTCCGATGCTCTGCGATGCTCCCTGGTCGATGGACACAGCATCTCATTCCAGTCTAGTCCTCGTGATTTGGAGCGCGGCAAGCACGGTTCATAACCCCATCTCAAATGATCCTTAATCCAGGGTATTGGTCAGGCATGGCTCTAGGGAGACCCAAGCGAAACTGGAAGTGGCACAACAGGTGTTCGGGTTTCCGGGAGTTAAGGGTTAAGAAGCTGAGGTCACTTGTTCTTCACAGACACAGAGAGTCCGGCTGGACAGGGCGAGGATGACTTCGTCCGAGTTCCGGTTCCGAGACAGGCGTTGATCCTCGCTCGCACGTCGGCCTGCGCATCGAAGTGTCCATAGGACAAGAAGTGGTATATGGGAGCTTGAATGAAGCCATCGGAATCGGGCTTTGGGGGTTCTCCTGTAGTATAGTTGTACACGGAGTATAAGTACAGGAAGTGTGTATCATTACTCAGAACCCCCATGGGGATGTTAAGAACTTGCGACTCCCCCAAACGAGAGTAAAACTTGGTTTCGGAAGTACCTGTGCCGCCCTCGAATCGTTCACTGCGTGCATGAGCCGGTCAGACGCAGTCTCACCCTAGGCGCTTACTAGCGTGCCGTTTCTTGTTGCTCCGCGCTCGAGCATTTGCAGAAACAAGCTCATCAGCTTATTCGTTAGATACGTGCGATTTGCGCATCCATTCTTACGTTTACGACTGCCGGTGTTTTCTTGTGTGTTGTGATTCTGCAGTATGAATGCTTTTTCCATAGAGAACTTGTGCTCGTGTTGGATACCGATACAGCTTCCTATTCGCACTCGCAGGAATAGTCTTTGGTCCATAAGATAGAACCCGAATTCGCAGGTGTCGTCATACCATGACGACAACGACGCTGCTGCTGCTGCTGCTGCTGCTGCTGCTGCTGCTGCGGCTACGACTGCTCCAGCTGGTTGTGAAGGTGCGATGATGATGATAATGGTGATGACGATGATTTGGATTATGTTGATGACGACGACCATTGCCACTATGGCTGTCTCCATCAGAAACATGACCTCCGATAGCTCAACAATTAGAGCCTTCTGCTGCTGAGGAATCGAAGCCACGAAAAGTGGTGCACATCTTAGCACGGTGATGACCTGCCTTTGTGCATAGTTACTTCTTTGTGTCGAAGGGTTGACATCTTGGGCCACCATACATTGCAGACGTTCAAGGATACCAGCTGGGAGCTGTAGTCGCAACTGCTTAGGGTTCTTGGTTTCGGGATAGCTTCGTCGTCATGATCCTTACAGGAATCGAAGTTCGGATTCTGTCGCTTGGAGGGGATCCTTGGCCGAGGGGGGCAACTGGGGTAAGTGTTTAGGGAGAAGAGTGCAGTTCTAGAGCATGGGCTGAACGAATTCTACGTTCAGGGAAGGCATCAAGATACAGCTATCATGCTAAGCTTCCCTGGATCAGTGCAGATCAGCGGAACCTTCACTCCGAGCCCGCTGAGAAGCATTCCACAAAAGCACTCCAAAGGCCCCTCAGGGTTTGAAGCCTTGCAACCAGGACTTAAACTTGTCAGGAGCTTAAGCAGCCCGTAGTCTGCCATAGTGCCCTCAGCCCGCATACCGAGGCTTTACCACCGAAACATGGTCGGGCTAATGCCTGCCTGGAGCCACCTCCTCTCCTCCGGGATGGCGGAGAAGTATGTGGCCCGGCTGCGGCTGTGCAGGGATTCGGGTCCACTTCGCCTGCTTCATAGAAGATATAGTGGTGTTGATCCTGAGGTTTGGGATGTCGCGTTCAGGACGAGCTTGAACTTTCGGGCAAGCCTCAGGTGTGAGCCTTTGTTGAAGTTGCTGTGCCAAACCGAGGGTTTTTTCTATATGAAAAGGTGTCCCCTCCCGACAGCTGCAAAGTCACACTTCATCAGCATGTTTGTTTCAAAGAAGAGAATCCGCTGGTTTCAGGGTTTCGGGTTTCCAGAGTAACTTCTTTGCAGGGATTGAAAAGGTAAGCAAATTCCTCATGCGTGAAGCTCCTCGGCCCTTGAGTACAATAACGTGAAGGAATCGTCCGAGAAGCCCTCGCAGAACCGCCGTTCAACTCGTCTATGGCTCTCATAGAAACCTTGTCGATCCCTTATATGGGTCCCGTAGAGAATCCTCATAGATCCCTTCTAGAACCGTTTTGGAGCCGTCTTAAAAATCCTTATGGATTACGTGCAGCCCTTATGGATCCTTTCGCCGTTCTTTCGACTCCTCACGGAAAGGACTGGCTGATCAACTCCGAGTTGGACCACTTCCTTTCCCCGTCCCGAGCCAAGGCAAGGACTCCCCGGCGCTTTCAAAGGCAAAGGTTTGAGAGAAGACATGGGGGGGCCTAAGAATTCGAGCCGGGCAGAGCCCACAAGTAAGATTTGCAGGGGCTGTTGTAGGGTTTTGTAGGGGTTTAGGGTTTAAGAAGGCTTTAACATGGAGGCCTGAAGATTCGAATGGGGTTTTGTTGCATGGGGACAACAAGGGGATATTGTTGTTTGCACGCCTAGCAAGGAGTTTATGACAGAATCCCAAGCCTAAACCACAAAGGAGTAGAAACGCGCAAGAGCACTGGGGCCCTGTTGCTTTGTACTTTTGTCTTTCTCCTCGCTCTAGTCGTGTGGGTCGTAGATAGTGGAAGCAGTGGTAGCAGTGGCGGGCATCAAGACATCAGAGCTTCCAAGTCCCCTTGGGCGGCTGTCAAGCGAGATTGAGAAGCATGACAGATGAGATCGAGTGCTTCTTTGTCCCTGCTTAAGCTTGCTTGTGGTCACTTTTTGAGCCTGTACCATATGTCTGCCCTATCTGGATCTTGGCAGGAGAACATCCTCGAGTATTTGAGGGTGATGGAGGCAAGTCAGAAAGCGATGCATACTATCTAAAAGTACTGTCCCATACTGCGGCGCTGAGAGTACGCTGTGCGCCGAGCTGCCCTGCGTTTGCTGCTGCACTCTTCGGCTCAGCACGCGTGGCGCGAGCTCGGACTCGGCTTGATCAACATGGGAGATTCTTGCAGACTTGCTGACCCCTAGACCCTACACCCCAAGGTTCCCAAGCCCCGAAGTCCGAAGCCTAGACTCGAAACCCACATCCCAGGCCGAAAAGATCTCTAAGCTCACACAATGCTGTGGGGATCAAGCCAGGAAGGCTCGGACGACAGCTCGGGTGTGGAGGGGCCTATTATGCTCATGTCTCCCGGCCTGTCTCTTTTTTCGGAACATGCTGGAAAGGATCACTATAGGCGCTCAGCTTTTACGGGTTTAGGGTTGTGGATTTCTGGGTTAGTCCAGAGTCAAGGATTTGGGGATCTGCTGTGGACTCAGGAGAGACATGCAAGTGTAGAGGTCGCAATGCCCAACCCTCTTTTCTTCAAAGCCAAGGTGGGGCAATGCGTTCGTCTTCAACAGGAAATACGTCCAGGCCAGGGCTTATGATTTTGGGTCTGAGTCCTCCTGCAGGTATGTAGAATAAGGCTTCGTTCTTGTTCTGCACTGGGACTCAATCCGTCATGCCTCAATGGCAAGAGTCCAAGGCCCTCAAGCCTCGAATCCAGCAACCCCTGAACTACCAAGAAGAAGCATGAACTCTCCAAACCCTGCAGGTGCTGAAGGCTAACTGGGCCAACCTCGGCCGCGTCGCGGACGCGGTCGAGGACGGCGGGCGTGCCGTCGGGTGCCCCATGCCACTCGAATTCAGAAGATGCTAGCAGGGGGTTTAGGGGTTTAAGGCGTGAGAGTTTAAGGGATCTTAAATGCTTTGGGTTTTTTCCTGTCGAGTGTTTTGCCGAGTGGTTTGGTTTTGAAAGGTGCACGTGCGGCGTTTTCAAGCCGCTTGCGTTTTTTTTTTAAACTTCCTTCCGCTCAAAAAGGCTTCGGAGTGCGGTGATTCTGTCGGGACGTCTTCGCCAGGGATCTTACGCCATAAGCTTATGGCGTAATCACCTTGGAGGGCCAGGCTTGCAGTTCAAAAAGGCCCAAGCCGCTCCCCAGTGCCCACCTCAGCTTTGAGGTTCATGAAGGGCCTGGTGGAGTGGCCCGACCACTGCTCCCAGGACTTCCTATGATTGCTGGCGCCTGTATCGCACAGACTGGGTAGATGGATCTTTCAAACCCACCTTTGCTCCGGAGCCCTTCCTTTCCAGCTCCCAACGGGAGAGGACATGATCTATCCGGCCCTGGCTGAGCATATCTTGTCCGGATCTCGGTTCCCCCTTCATGTGATGAGCCCTTGTCCGCGAAGGCAGCAGTTTATTTCAGCAGGTCTTCGAAGGTGAGGCTCATGCCAAGTTTTCATGGCTCTTCCTGCAGCCGCCCAAAGTGCAACCCAATCCCGAGGCCTCCCCTGCAGCAGAAGGCGGGTGGAGGGCATTTGTAGGGTTCCCTTGCTTTGAGGATTCGAGCATCTGGCTCTTGGGGGGCTTCGGGTTGACGGTATATTACGGTATATTCTACTAGATTCATCCTGAGGGTCCATGGAAGTGTTTTGGGCGTTTTATATCTGAAGCCGTGCGGCTCTGCCCCGCAGGATTTGGGATTCGAGTTCTGGAGTGTCGGGGTTGTCAGGACTTCGGGGTTAAGCGGCCAAAACCTGAGGCAACCCAGATTCTCCGACTTTTTTCGACTTCATTGCGAACGCAAACGCTTGGCTGGCTCCGAGTGAGTATAGCTTCTCCAGAACCTTCGCTTGAAACCGTAAACACACTCAAAAACTTATAGAAAGATCCATCCGTCCCTCGGCCCCGACCGAAGCTGCCCTGAGAGCTCGAAGACCCGACGAAGGTGGCCTTTCCCGGGGCTTCTGGCTGCGGCCAGCTTGCGAAGAATCGGCATGGGCAGGCACGGTCAGAGCTGCGGGGTCGAGGGTTTTGGCTTTTTTTTTTTTATTATGAGCGGTAGATTAAATTTCTAGTGTTGTGGGTTTCTGGGGTTTCGGATTCATCGGAATTGTTGTCATGGCGAGTGTCGACGTTTTGGACGGTAGTAGGGCTTGGGATGGAGTGTTCGGTGTTTGGGGGTGGCATGTCTCGCCTTTCTGATTGCAGGATGCCCAAATCTGCATAACTATCAATGTAGGGGGAACGGCTAAGGATCCGATAATGTAGGGTTCCATATGTTTTGGCCCCCAATTTTCTGAAACTCCCTCGTAACACCTTCACCGACAACCGCACCCTTACGCTCAAGAACTGTTAGGGTCTAACCCTAAACCCTAAACCCAAAAAGCCTCTGTAGGTTCGGGGGTTTGATCTACCAGGCCTTTCCGCTGGGCTGTTGGGAGATGCAGCAGAACCCGCCCCTCGGCTCGCCTGAGTTGAAAGGCTCGAAAGGGGTTCAGGAGTTTAGGGAGCTTGAGTTTAAGCAACAGGGTTGATTGAGGGTTTAGGTGTAGGGGTTTCTAGTCTGAGGCTCCGAGCTTGGTCTTATGAAGCCCGGTTTCCCCAGAGAGAAGAAGCCTTGCAACCCAAGGATCAACGGGCAGCACGAGGAAGGAGAGCTAACGGCTCTTCAGGACTCCCCCGATAAAAATCGGGCTTGTGGCTTCGATAATATCGTGGCTTTTGAAAGGCGGCTACTCCTGGCTTACAGGCAGGGCTTTGAGACCGGGGCCTTCAAGCGTTCGGGCCGTGAGGGCTTGAAAAGGGCTTTTGTTTCTTTTTTGGCAGCCGGACCACAGCAGAGTGTGGCAAATCCCGGGCCCTGAGTCTTTTGAAGATTCGGCTAGAAACCCCAGCCTTGAACCCCGCCCCTCCCTCGGCAGGAGCTGGCTGCTATCGGCAGGCTGCAGGCCCAGCGCGTTTTGGGGTCTGGACGGGATCGCATGTTCTTGAAGTCCAGGCTGGCGGAACTACTAAGACTCTCCCCAGATGGTACTGCGGAAACCGACCCGCATGCAATTACGACTGATCTCGAAGCCCTCAGCCATTGGTCCCATCTTTACACGATGAAGGGTCCAGATGCCAAAGCCAAGGCCCAAGATCCGACAAGGCCTCTGCCCTGAACGTCAAGCCCCTGTAACTGCGTGAAACACCATGAAGAATGCGTGAACTCTAAAGACAGCCATGAGAACACTTGATACATCTCCAGAAACAAGCCAAGCCCCTCAACCCTAAAATCTCGAGCGGCACGGAAGGACAGCGAAGCGGCTGGCGCCTACTGCCTCCTAGTTGCAATTCTCGGATGGGTGGAGTTGGGATCTCTCTTTGGGCTCAGGGCTTTCGGGCTTTGGGCCGAGGCTCAGGCTCGGAAGGGTGGAAGTCTTGAGGCCTTATGAAAGTATATAGTACAAAGGGCCCCAAAACCCTATTCATATGATTCAACAGGGTTCCTTATTATAACTACTTTAAGGCTTTTGCCACCAAGGCCGCCGGTCTCCGATCGAAGCCCTGCAGAAGAACTGCATGACGTTCTGGGATGGGAGGCCACCCAGCGCCCGTCCTCGGGGGATAGCAGTAGCATGGTAGCATGGGCCTTACGATGCCTCCTCTTCCTCAACGCTGTGGCTAACAACTATCTTGACTCTCCTCATCCAGACTCCGCATGATGTATGCGAAAACAGAAGCTCGCAGATTCGGAAGCTTCTCCAGTGCGATACATCGTCAAGCCCAAGCGCACTCTGCTCCCGGTGCTGATACCTGTCATCCTACGCCCCAAGCCGCGCTGGGCCCCGCACCACCAATCTTAAAGCCAAACTCCATGCCCCGAATAAACCCTAAGACCCTAAACCCATAAACCCTAAAAGCCAAATCCCTAGAACATTAAAGCCCTAAACCCCCAATACCCTCAAGTCCCAAGAGCCCTGAAGCCTTTCCACCTCGGCGGAGTCACAAAGCCCTTAGCTCTCCAAAAGCTTCCGTGTAGGAACGTTCCTGTCATCCACCACCTCCATACTGCGCCGGGAGCCCAGGGCCCAGGCTCTCGTTCTTTGGGCGATTTAGGTTTTTTCTGGTAAGGGGGGGCGAGGGGGGGGGGGGGGNNGGGGGGGGGGGGGGGGGGTTCAGAGGGGTGTCGAGGGATTGGGCCTTTCGCTTTGAGGTTTTTCGGTTGTGGGGTTCGGCGTTCGGAGTGGGATTCCGGGCGTTGGGTTCGAGTCGCGCATGCAAGGCAGATGACTCCGATGGGCTTGCATTACAGGGCTACAGTATTAAGAGGAACATGTTTGGCGTGAAGTGGCGTTGGCATCCAACCCCGACATCCTTACCAAACCCATATACCCAAGGCCAAGTCGCACCATTCGTAGGTTTAAAGTTGCATCTTAGCTTCAACCTGAACCTGATACAGTGTTCCTTACAAGGTACAATAAGGGTTCTGAATACGGGTCGCACAGGGCGCCATGTTCCTGTGCGTTCTTAAAAGTGCAGGAAACCGAAGAATGTAGCGATTGTCAAGGCTGTAGAGCTTGTTAGAAACTACTGTTAGTTGTATAAGGTTTCACTCAGCCGTTATCTTTTTATAGCGATCTTCATCATCTTCATCATCGCCATCGCCATATAGTTGTGCTCTACGTTGTGTAAAGAGGCAAAATCGCTGTAAATACTGATGTTTTGGGCATGCTCACACCGCTTGTGACAGTGCGTCTTCTGCCAGAGATGTAAGCTGTACAACAGCTTTCGGCACATGAAGTGGCGAAAGCTCTGTAAATGCAGAGTTCTGGGCATGGTTGCCGTTAGCACCCCTCTCCTTATCCACTCCACCCGCCCCCACCCCCGACCCCAATGTAGATGTCTTGAATATGCAAGAGAGGCCAGGAGTAACACGACGCCCTATGCGCTACCCAATACATGGGTTACTATCGGGTGTTTGCAGAGTTTCATTCCACACCCCGGAGAGCCCCCAACCTCAACACCCAGGAGGGAGCACTTCCTTGCCCGAGCGCTGCTGGACAACGACCCTGGCCCCTGACGAGTTTCCGTTTCCCAGCAGTCGCGTCCGGGTTTCGATACTTGCCCACAAAGGTCGCAAAGCTTGCAAGAGTTCAGGGAGAACACTGCGGGGTGCGGGGGTTTCGTCGACGAGCGCAGCGTGCAAAAGAAGAGAGATACTCCCTCTACCGTCGGCACATGCACCGACTGGATCCCAGGGCGCCGTGTACATCTGTGCTCGAACATGTTCCCGTAAACAAACTCCAGTAAGGAGCACTGACATCGAGGCGCGTAGATATCCACAGGCCTGCTGCAGCAATTTGGGCCAAGCAATTGCATGCGCACATGGTGCAGATTCCGTGTCAGAAATTTATGATTTATGAGGCTTCCAGACCACAGCACAGTGCCAATGACCAGAGTCTGTAGACAACTTCGTCGGCAAAGCAGAGGAGTGCGTGCTGAGGGGCATTGCACGGATCCTGACTTCGCGCCGTACACCCAAAATGCTGGTCGAGGTGGGCATGCCCAACGAATTCCCTAAGTCGTCGCGTGATTTTGTGTCAAACGTCGCACCCTAGCCTGGAACAGGCGTTGTATGCTAACAAATCTAGCAACAGGGGCTGTCCTGCTATTGCCTTCAGCTCCACACGCGACCCGAGCCCCGGTGCCCAAATTGGTTTGACCGATATCCTTCAGACAACGGCCAGAGCTTGAGCGCTAGAACTTCCCTAAAGCCTCGGCCCTGAACCTAAATGCTCCGCAAGTTTCAGCAAGCGAGAGCTCAAGATTCGTGTGGCTTCGTTCAGGTTTTTGAAGGTTTTTGAGGTTTCCTTCGGGGCTCACGATTGGGAATCACGGCATCTTGTCTAAGCCTTCGGCTCCTCGAGTATTTTATCGGCACAGGAGGCCCAGCCACGCCTGCCGAACGGCCCGACGCTGTGTGGCGACATGACGCCCGGCTGAGAAAAGATAGAACGCCCCCCAAGGACCCCGGAGACTGGGTCTCGTGTGGAGCAGAGCTTTTAGCCGTGAAATTCCTCCAAAAAGCTGCCATCAGCTCCCCGCATCCTGGGCCCTGCGAGGTCGAAGACAGCCCTTGCCTCAGTCTCCGCCATAGTTTGGATTATGGGCTGCGTTGGGATTGGAGGGTAAGGGTCCATGGAGGTATTGTCACAAGGAAGCAGAGTCGTTGGAGTTTTTGCTCACGGCATTGGGGCTCCCGTGGGCTTCGCACGTGCACACCCGTGGATTCATGTACAGATGTCGATATGCGGCAGACATACTAGTATCTTTCACTGTGCCCCTAAACCCAAAACCCTAATCCCAAATCCTAAACCCTAATCTCGGGACCTAAGACCCTAAGAACGAATCCCAAACTCAACCACCGTCGCCCTGAGAATCGCCTTGTTCGCCTCCTATCGGGTCGTGCATGCAAGGAATTTAGGTCCCGACTCCTTAGCTCCAACTTCGCTCCAATGCCCCGAAAACACGACAGCTCCTAGACCCTCAATCCTAAAGTCCAAAACCGCAGAAGCCTAAAGCCTGGATTCGGAACCCTAAACTTCATTCAACCCACTCAACACTCCAGCCTAACTCTATTCTGTCATAGGATAAAGGCCACATTGGCAGTATCGGCACTCAGTACTGCGCATGGAGGCCAGCATCTTCCAGGCCCGATCTGCAAGGCTTTGCTTCCATCACGTCGAGTCAGAAGACGGGAGCCCTCAAAACAGACAGAGTATTTTCCTATTTGAATAGGACCCCAACCGTCTGAACTCTAAGCCCGAAGCCCCAGATTTTAAACCCCCTCAAGTTTCCAAAAAATTGCACAAAGTCCTACACTGAGGGAGAGTCGCCCCGAGCCTCTGAGCCCCTGCGGTGGTGCTTCGTCCCAAACCCAAAGGCTCCGAATCTCAAACTCTTTCCCAAGGCCAGGATTTTTGGGATTTCGGGTCGAGTACATAGGACTTAGGAGTTTAGGGTTTAAGCGTTTTGATTTCGGGTCTAGGGTGAAGGGTTTAAGGTTGGGTCCAGTCCCTATGCCCGAAATTCCAAACTCCTGCAAAAGCCACATGAACCAGGTCAGTCCCGACTGGCAACGATGGTTCCCTTATCTTTTCAAGCTTGGGGCTCAAAGTGGCCGAGCAGGGTTGTCCGTTTTTTTTCTCAACGTATCATGGAGTTTAAAGCGTTCAGGGTTCAGCTTTTTGTGATTTGGCATGTGGGCGGCTTCCGGTTCTGGGTTCCAGAGTTTTCAGAAAGCTTTCTCATGCTAGGGCTGGGTCAGCCATGACGCAAGCCTCCAGCTCGGAGAATTTAGCAGAACCGCGACCCAAGCTCAATAGGCAGCCTCCCCGGAACAAGAGCAGTTGACAACATCCGGCAGAGCCTTTTTCCGGCAAAGAGCCTTCAAATCTAAAACCCCAAGAAACCTTGTACAAACTCTATAGTAGCCTTCAGCCGAATCCTACATACCCCTCTAAAATACTCCAGGGATGCCGAAACCATAAACTCTAAACCCCTGGTCTAAAAAGCCGAAGGAATGCCGAACTGCTCTCTGGAGTTGTTGGGGCCCTGAAGAGCGCGCCATTGCACTTTGAGATGGGGTTTTGGCATTTCGGGTGTTATAGGGAGGGTTGAGGGTTTTGAAACTTTCGGGTTTAGCTGCTTCTGCTTTCGTAGTTTGCGCTTTTGAGATGAAGGGGGTCTTGGACTCAGGGTGTTTATGGTGTTTGGGCGCAAAATAGGTAGAGTGCTGCAGCTTCTCATCAGAAACTAGTGCTCAGGCTTTCAGGTGCGAAATCTTCTTGAACACAGTCGCCAGGTGCTTCTAGGCCAGCCCGTCCTGGGTAAGGTTAACGCTGAGTTGTCTGATTTAGACGACCTTCTGTCCAAAGTTATAAAATCGGTACCGGATGGCAGAGCG